CCTTCAGATGTGGCAGAGCGACTTTCTGCGGAAATGGGCTTCATTAAGGTCAAGTTTTTGCCTCCTAATACCACTCCTCTCCTGCAGCCCATGGACCAGCAGGTCATTTCCAACACCAAGAAACTGTACACAAAAGCTATGTTTGAAAGGTGCTTTGTAGTGACCTCAAAAACTCAATTGACTCTAAGAGAGTTTTGGAGAGATCACTTTAGCATCCTCAATTGTGTAAACATTATAGGTAAGGCTGGGAGGAAGTGACTAAGAGGACCTTGAACTCTGCTTGGAAAAACTGTGGCCAGAATGTGTAGACAAAAGGGATTTTGAAGGATTTGAGGCTAACCCAGGGAATCCTATGCCAGTTGAGGAATCCATTGTGGCATTGGAGAAGTCCTTGGGGTTGGAGGTTAGTGGGGAGGATGTTGGATGTTGGAGGTTAGTTGGTGGAGGAGGACAATGACGAACTAACCACTGATGAGCTGGTGGATCATCTTCAACAGCAAGAGGCCAGACCTGAGGAAACTGCTCCGGAGGGGATAGAGAAATTGAAGTTGTCTACTTCAAAGATTAAGGAAATGTGTGCAATGTGGCTTAAAGTGCAAACCTTTTTTGATGAAAATCACCCTCACACAGCTATTGCAAGCCGTGCTGGTGACTATTACACTGACAATGTTGTGAAACACTTTAGATATGTCATAAAGGAACAGGAGGTACAGGCCTCTATGGACAGATATGTTGTGCGACAGGTCCAGTGACTCTCAAGCTGGTCCTAGTGGCATTAAAAGAAGAAGGGAAGTAACCCCGGAAAAGGACTTGCCACCTCAAGTCCTAATGGAAGGGGATTCCCCTTCTAAACATGAACACCATCCACAGTCTCCCCTCCTCCCATCCCATCAATCACCACCAGATCTTCAATAAAGGTAAGTGTCATGTAACTGTGCATGTCTTCTTCAGTTTGTGTGTATTAAAATTAATATATTTCATGTGGTAAAAATTTTTTTTTGTTCATACTTTGGGGTGTCAGGAACGGATTAATTTGATTTCCATTATTTCTTTTATTTATTTTTTATTATCACACTGGCCGATTCCCACCAAGGCAGGGTGGCCCAAAAAAGAAAAACTTTCACCATCATTTATTTCTAATGGGGAAAATTAATTCGGCTAACGATAATTTCGCCTTACGTTGAGCTCTCAGGAATGGATTAATAGCGTTAGGCGAGGGTCCACTGTATATACAAAAGATGACGTAATCAGTCCCTCATATACATCTTGTCAGACAGTGCAGCATCATGGAATCTTGGTTCACAGGACATCTTCACAACCTTCTTAACTAATAATGACCTGTACCTCGGGTATGACCTACCCTACTTCCTCTGCAGAATCCTGCCTACCAGTGACAATGTCTTCGTCTGTTGCATGTCCCTCACCACCTGACGCCAGTATATAAGTACCAATTTTCTTGCCTGTGCTCAAGTGCAATGGACAAATGAAGAAGTAGCAGCAGTTATACATACAAGCAGCATTTTTGAGCTTCCCCAGCACTCAGGCTTCGGCCCAAAGCTGGTATGTGGTTCCAAAAGGATCCTGTAGGGCTTGCTGCCTCTTATACCTCCTGACATCGTCTGCTATGTAATTGCTACACCCTTCGAGCCCAGTGGGGCAGGGTTTGTGGCAGCCCCACCCTCTGAGCCCTGTGAGGGTGGAGAATAGGGCTAGGCCTGGGGGCAGCTGGTTTCAAAAGATGAGGTACTTGTACCTCCTCCCGTGGCAGACATACGTCTCGGACACTCCTGCGATAGGTAGCCAAGGCCGGGTCATCAACTGGCAGAGACCCAGGCTGGCAGTACCAGCAAATCAAGAACTGCCTGTACTTCGGAGTCTTCACAACTACAGTGCTCTTCACCAACTCCAAGGTTGAGGCATTGGTTACCTCATCTCTTGTATACAGCTCTACTGTCTTCCGATTATGCTCTAGAATTCATGTTGATAAAGCGACTAGTTAGCAAAACGTTTACAATAAAGATACCAAGGTGTTGCATGTCTAATTTTTATCTTGTCGGTTTTATACACCATTCATATACAACTTGCTAGTGATGTATAGAGCTGTAAAATAACTTTTGGACTCCTGTTGCTTATACTGCTTGATATAAATTCAAGTAATCTGTTAGCCTTTTTGAGCACACTTAGGCACTGTTGTCTTGGCTTCAGATTTTGGCTTACCATGACTCCCAAGTCTTTTTCAGATTTTGTTATCAAGCTCTATACCATCTAGTTACAACTTCAAGGGTTATTTTCATTTCCAAGTACAGGTTGGCCATCACTAATCCGGTTCCATCGGTATTCCGGCACTAATTTCGCCTAGCATAATTTCAAATTTCTGGTGTCGCCACACCAACCTGCCGCTACTGTTTGGTTTACCTGAGGTTTACCTGAGTTTACCTGGAGGGTTTCTGGGGTCAACGCCTCCGCGGCACGGTCTGAAACCAGGCCTCATGGTGGATCAGGGTCTCATCAATCAGGCTGTTACTGCTGGCCGCACGCAAACTGACATACGAACTACAGCCCGGTTGGTCAGGTACTGACTTTAGGTGCCTATCCAGTGCCTTCTTGAAGATAGCCAGGGGTCTATTGGTAATTCTCCTTATGTATGCTGGGAGGTAGTTGAACAGTCTTGGGCCCCAGACACTTATTGTGTTCTCTCTCAATGTACTCATGGCACCCCTGCTTTTCATCAGGGGAATGTTGCATCATCTTCTGAGTCTTTTGCTTTCATAGGGAATGATTTTCGTGTGCAGGTTTGGTACCAATCCCTCCAGGACCTTCCGAATGTATATTATCATGTATCTTTCTCACCTGCTAATGCCTGGAGTTTACCTGGAGAGAGTTCCGGGGGTCAACGCCCCCGCGGCCCGGTCTGTGACCAGGCCTCCTGGTGAATCAGAGCCTGATCAACCAGGCTGTTGCTGCTGGCTGCACGCAAACCAACGTACGAGCCACAGCCCAGCTGGTCAGGAACCGACTTTAGGTGCTTGTCCAGTGCCAGCTTGAAGACTGCCAGGGGTCTGTTGGTAATCCCCCTTATGTATGCTGGGAGGCAGTTGAACAGTCTCGGGCCCCTGACACTTATTGTATGGTCTCTTAACGTGCTAGTGACATCCCTGCTTTTCATTGGGGGGATGGTGCATCGTCTGCCAAGTCTTTTGCTTTCGTAGTGAGTGATTTTCGTGTGCAAGTTCGGTACTAGTCCCTCTAGGATTTTCCAGGTGTATATAATCATGTATCTTTCCCTCCTGCGTTCCAGGGAATACAGGTTTAGGAACCTCAAGCGCTCCCAATAATTGAGGTGTTTTTCCCCGTTATGCGCGCCATAAAATTTCTCTGTACAATTTTTCTAGTCGGCAATTTCACCTGCCTTGAAAGGTGCTGTTAGTGTGCAGCAATATTCCAGCCTAGATAGAACAAGTGACCTGAAGAGTGTCATCATGGGCTTGGCCTCCTAGTTTTGAAGGTTCTCATTTTCCATCCTGTCATTTTTCTAGCAGATGCGATTGATACAATGTTATGGTCCTTGAAGGGGAGATCCTCCGACATGATCACTCCCCCGGTCTTTGACGTTGTGTTTCGCTCTATTTTGTGGCCAGAATTTGTTTTGTACTCTGATGAAAATTTAATTTCCTCATGTTTACCATATCTGAGTAATTGAAATTTCTCATCGTTTAACTTCATATTGTTTTCCCGCAGCCCACTGAAAGATTTGGTTGATGTCTGCCTGGAGCTTTTCAGTGTCTGCAATGGAAGACACTGTCATGCAGATTCGGGTGTCATCTGCAAAGGAAGACACGGTGCTGTGGCTTTAAAATCCTTTGTCTTTAGTCAGATATAAGGATGAGGAACAAGATGGGAGCGAGTACTGTGCCTTGTGGAACAGAGCTTTTCAAACCGTAGCTGCCTCGGAAATTTACTCTGTTGACGACTACTCTCTGTGTTTTGTTAGTGAGGGGAAATTATAGATCCATCGACCGACTTTTTCCTGTTATTCTTTAGCACGCATTTTGTGCGCTATTACGCCATGGTCACACTTGTCGAAGGCTTTTGCAAAGTCTGTATATATTACATCTGCATTCTTTTTGTCTTCTAGTGCATTTAGGACCTTGTCATAGTGGTCCAATAGTTGAGACAGACAGGAGCGACCTGTTCTAAACCCATGTTGCCCTGGGTTGTGTAACTGATGGGTTTCTAGATGCGTGGTGATCTTGCTTCTTAGGACCCTTTCAAAGATTTTTATGATATGGGATGTTAGTGCTATTGGTCTGTAGTTCTTTGCTGTTGCTTTACTGCCCCCTTTGTGGAGTGGGGCTATGTCTACATCTACAAGAAATTAACACAATACTCAGAGTACTTTTGTTTTTCTATCATTACTTTACTTACAGTGGCTCAATTAGCAGTGCATTCACCTCACACACTGAGTGTCCATGGTTCAATCCCCAGCATAGGTGGACATGTTGGACATGTTCCCTTACACTTGCTGTCACTGTTCACAGCAGTGTTCACCTAGCAATAAGTACCTGGACGTTTGCAAACTGTTGTCGGTCGCATCCTGGGGGACAAGACTAAAAAAAACCACAATGGAAATAAGACAAGAATCCTCGATGATTTTATATGGTTATCCTGTGTGGCTAACCCTCCGGATTAAAAATACATATCTTAACTTTAGGGGTTGGTAACATAAGCACTTTGTCTGGCTTATTCAATTTATTCAGGTACATGTACACATAAATACATTTACATAAATTACCATACATAGCAGCATATGCGTAATTATCTAGGTTAACCCAAAAAAAAAGTGACTTCTTTCCAGTGGAGTTATGGTGCAGTGTGTACCTGTCTCTACACTTATACTTATTAACAATCATTTTATGAATGTGCAGTACTCTCTATACAAAAAAACACACGCGGTTAGCGTAATTAAATATGATTATTAATAGTGAGGAGCCAGTGTGTACCTGGCCTTGGAGGGTCGTTCCTTGGACCTCTCTCGGTCTCTATGTCTGCGCCGCTCCCTCTCTCTAGACCTCGACCTTCTCTTATGTGACCTCTTGCTCTTGTGTCTCTTAGGTGTCCTGCTTCTTGAGCGTGACCTCCCCATGGTGTACCTCCTCTTATGCCCGGGAAACCCGAAAAATAGCGCCCTGCTCCCCAAAAAAATTATGCGAGGTCAGAGCGCGACCCATTTGCTACGCTACTAAAAACCTTCATTTCTCAACCTCCGATTTTTTTTCCTGAAAAAAATTAAAAGCAAAACAGGTTTTCATTTAAGGTTTTTGCAATTCCATGACATAAATAATTTAAAAGTTTACTACGTCTATGTGAATGCTAGTCCGCTTTTCGAGACAAAGTAAAATTAAAATAAATTCAGAGAAGTATTATTGGAACTGATCAGAGGATACATTAAATCTTTTTTGGGCCTTTATTATTTGCTGCTTTTATTATATTACATAAAAATCTATTCATTTATTTTATAGGATAAAAGCGATAATTTTCTCTAATATAGCTGAAATAAGAAAAACTGTTCTGTATATACAAGTGAATAATTTGTAACCACTATAGTCCTACAGTGGTTAAATTATCACAATAAACTTGCCACTACAAATATAAAAAACCCACCCCAAGGTACCACCAAACAAAATGCTGGGAAGGAATCTTCACCCAAGGAATTTGAGCTACGGGAAAGGGGGGGAAAGCGATATCTTGTATAGTTAACATTCGTGTATGTATTGTAAACTGATCCTCTATTTAATGTTCATGTGAATAACTCAGTTCACTTTGTTCACATTGCACCTCCTTATCTGTAACAAATTTTCAATACATTGAGTTACTTAGCTGGTTTAATTTTTAAAGGGTTTATAATCTAACTGATTTCTATTTTATTTATTTAGTGCTGGTGCACATAATACAATTCAACGATTTTTTAACAAAGCGAAAATTTCCCCTAGGATAACCAAAAAGTCAGACAAGTACTTATTTCCACCGGGCTTTTCCCTTGTGAGTTTACTCTTAAATTTTGATTGTAAAAAATTTTTTTCACTGGGGTCTTTAAGCTAGGTTTTTAATTAAATAATTAGACATTACAAGGCCCCCCCAAATGGAAGTAAGTTACGCGGGTCGCAGTACAAATTTCCCCCAGAAGCAGTCATCAGGTACCTGTAGGTACCTACTGTTAGTACAATTTAAGGGGGGAAGCGGGGTGCTGCGGAGCCAAATAAAAATTTATTTAGGTACAGATACACAGAATAGTTTATAAAAATTTTAAAGTAATACAATGTTTTTCAATGCCCCCCAATGCCGGAAAAAAAATCCCCCCCCCAGTACCAACAATACCACCATCCGATAACATTCTTCTTTGCAAAAAAAAAGGGGTCAAAGCCACAAAAACCAACAAAAATACCTTTAAATTTCCTTTGGACTGCTTTCAGGGCAAAGGCAATGTTCGCGGCTTTCACTAGCCCCCACTTTAAAGGAACTTGGGACAACGAAAAGGACCCCGGTTAAAAACCTAAAACAGATGTGACAGAGTGAACAGGAAAAAGGGGGGGGGGTTGGCCTGTACTTGCAGAGTATTTGTTTGCCAGAACTGCAAAAACCCCAAAAAGATGGTGGAATTTTTTACAGAAAAGGTCGAGAACCCAAAAAACCAGTCTTTGTGATATCTACAAGCTCCGGATCAACACCCCGAAATTTTCCAGGAACACTGAAAAAAATTGCCCACTGTGGAAAAACCCTTCCCTCCTGCACCCAACACTGCTCCTGGGGGATTCAACTTAAGGCCCAAAAAGGGAGGAATATAGCAAATAATATTGTTGCAGTAAAACACCAGGAGCAGCTCTGATGAAAACCACACCACGCGAGTTTTAAATCTCTGCACAAAATTCAATTTAAACCACAAATAATAGAGCCTACAAAGACTGGGAATACACAGCCCTCATCTTCACTAAAAATGATGATCTATAAAAAATATCACCATATCAAAAACAAATACACAGACACAACATAATTGAGGTTCAGTCATGTATCGCGGACCCCCAGACCGACAAAATGAATTAGTCACGGGGGAGCATTCACCAAATTCAACTTCAATAACAAAAACATAAAGTGGGACCAAGTAAACCAAGTCCAAACCCGATAAAGCGGGAAGATATACAAAAACACAGACCCCAACTTTCCAGAAAGAAAAACTCGGTAGCACTCGATGTATGCACAAGGTTATTCCTCTAAGAAAAAAAGGATAGATGTAAAACAAAAGAATGCCCCCCCTTTTACGGCGAGGGAAAAAAGAATAACAGGGGCTAAAAGGGGTCAATTATCTGAAATGCTTGGGAGACACGGTAGAGAAATAGCAAGCTCGAACTTAACTAAAAAAATCCTTTAGGATCAGGAATGCGGGAAAACAAAAGCCAAAAAAAAATCGAAAGAAACCCAAAGTATTTTTTTCCCATCCCAAATCAAAATCGAAACAACCCAGTAGGGGGCCCTATTAAAAACAAAAAGGGTCCTACACGATGACAAAAAGGGAAAGATGAGCACTCAAGTCCCAAATGACTCAGTTTTTAGCAAGCCGCTAACCAAAGAGGTCGAAATCAAAATGAATTTTTTTTTTGAGAAGCCCCAAATTTGATTAACACAAAACCCCCTCCGATGTTATCCTAACGCCCCAAAAGACCGAACAGGGGATAAATGCAGCCCATGCCTCTGCCCCGGGCCCAAAACTCTGGAACTCTTGTTCATCAAGAACTGCAAAAAGCCCCATCACGACCTTTCCATCCTATGGAGGGGAGCATGGACACGGGGGGGCGTCCCCCAGTTACTAAAAACAACAACTTTGCCCCACTCCACAAAGGGGGGCAGTAAAGCCAGCAAAGAACAAAAGACCAAAAGCACTAACATCCCATATCATAAAAAAACTTTTTAAAGGGGCCTAAGAAGCAAATCGCCACGCATCTAGAAAACCCATCTTTTACAACCCGGGCAACAGGGTTTAGAACGGCGCCCTGTCTGTCTCAACTATTGGGCCACTACACAAGGTCCCCAAAGAAATAAAACAAAAAAAAATGCAGAAATTTAAAATATCCCGACTTTGCAAAAACCTTTGACAAGTGTGACCATGGCCCTAAAAAGCGCACAAAAAAGCGTGCTAAAGGAAAAACAGGAAAATTTGGTCGAGGATCTATAATTTCCTATAACAGAACCAGAGAGTAGTCGTCAACAGAGTAAAGTCCGAGGCACTACGGTAAAACTCTGTTCCACAAGGCACAAATACTCGCCCCATTTTTTCCTCATCCTTAAACCGACATAGACAAGGGGTCACCCCGCACCGGTCTTCCCCTTTCAGATGACACCCAATCTGCGACAGTGTCTTCCTTGCAGACACTGCAAAGCTCCAGGCAGACATCAACCAAATCTTTCAGTGGGCTGCAGAAAACAATATGAAGTTCAACGATGGAAATTTCAATTACCAGTATGGTAAACATGAGGAAATTAAATCTTCATGAGTACAAAACAAAAATTTTGGGAACAAAATAAACGAAACACCAAGTCAAAAACCTGGGAGTGATCATTGGAGGATCTCACCTTCAAGGACCATAACTTGTACAATCCATCTGTTAAAAAAAACAGGATGGGAAAAGAACCTTTAAAACTAGGGAGGGCCAAGCCCAGAGACACTTTCAGGTCACTTGTTCTATTAGGCTGAATATTGTGCCCCACTAACGCACCTTTCAAGGGAGTGAAATTGCCCCACCAGAAAATGTAAAAAAAACTTTCACGGCGCGATAACGGAGATAAAACACCTCAATTATTGGGAGCGCTTGAGGTTTAAACCTGTTTTCCCCGGAAAAGCAGGAGGGGGAGATACATGATTTATAACCCGGAAAAACCTAGAGGGGCTAGTACCGAACTTGCCCCCACGAAAATCACCCACTACGAAAGCAAAAAGACTTGGCAGCATGCCCATCCCCCCAATGAAAAAGCAGGGGTGTCACTAGACGTTTAAGGACCCAATAAGTGTCAGGGGCCCAGACTGTTTTTTAACTGCCCCCAGCACACATAAGGGGGATTACCAACAGACCCCTGGGGTTTCAAAGCTGCACTGGGGCAAGCACCTAAAGTCAGTTCCGGGTCAGCCGGGCGTGGCTCGTATGTTGGTTTGCGGGGAGCCGCAGCAACAGACTGGTTGAACCCGGCTCTGACCACCGGGGGGCCCGGGCTCAGACCGGGCCGCGGGGGCGTTGACCCCCGGAACTTCTTCCAGGTAAACCCAGGTAACCTACCCCCCCCCTTTTTTTGGGGGGGGGGGGGGTAGGTTAGGTAATCTACACAAGTGTCCCGTAGCTCAACCACTATCGCACTAAGCTCACACACTGCCCGTCCGGAGATCGTATTGGAAAACATTAGGACGTGTTGCCCCCATGTTTTGCCCACGTATAAAATGAAAAACCCGGGTGTTAATCGATTTGGTGTGGATCGCATCCTGGGACAAAACTGACCTAATTTGCCCGAAATGTTACACTTAACAACTGTATTTCCTTGTACTACTTCTATGTATCATGATCAAATAAATAAATAAAGATTAGATTTTTTTAGATTTTGCCACCGAAGTGGCTAGTTTATTGTGCACCCCATATCCATCCTGTGGACGGTAGCGCGAGAGCATATGGATACACAAAAGGCCTTGGAACTAGGCCCCAAAGGGTTAACAGGAATACATATGGATTTATATCTACATATCTATAGTTCACTTATCTGTTACAAGCAAATTTAGGAAATTTGCTTAGTATATCTGGTATCTTATTTTCATTAATAAGATATCTTGACATGTCACAGGTTATTATACTGTCTATCTCTGTATTCCTCAATAAGTGGACAATTAAGCACATAGTGTTCAAGAGAGTGACCATATGCCTGATCACATAATTTACATTTAGTTTGATCATCATCTGTGTGTCTCCCAAACTGCCAGAAGTACTTGTAACCAAGCCTAAGCCTGGCCACTACAACATCAGTCAGTCTGTTCACATTGCACGTTGCTCCATAAACATACTTATCTACGTTCATGTTATCATAGTGGATTATACCTGGAGAGAGTTCCGGAGGTCAACGCCCCCGCGGCCCGGTC